ATTGTGTACTGGGTGCAGCCCCCCCCCCCGACCCAGAAATGGATTAAGGGGAAGAAAATGGATGGATGAATTGAATTGTGTGCATTGAGACAAACACTGTGGGTGACGTCAGCACTCGTTCGATCCACTCATAATATACAGTCGATGGGTCAGATTATCTTCGACGAGCCCTCTCAATGAAAAAGTAAAGACAGTGTGGTGAATAAAGGCTTCCAGTGCCTTTAGCTGCTGTGGTTTTAACAACTGGCTGTAGTTTGGATCTTTCCATAGTTTACCACTTGCACGTGTCAATTTCCAAAATAGTGGAATTACCTCAGCAGACTTCTGCCTTGACCCACTGATACCAGGGGCCCCCAAATTCCCATCTCTCTGAAATAAGAATACCCCATTGAGTTTTGTTATGTATAATAATAACTAGTATCACAAGTATTCTAAAACATAACATAAAAATACACACCCAACCCCTCATAAGTAAAATTGACTATTCCTCATTGCACTAGAATAACATAAAGAAACAATGACTCGTACTTATCTGAGTGGAAAAAAAGCTAAAACTGGAACCAAGATGTGAATATGTAGCTTCACTATCGTAGTCGCTAATGTTAGGCTCGGACCCGGCAAAAGGAGAGACATCACACCCCATCACAAAAGTTTTCCTTGGGCCCAAAAAAGTCAATCGGAATCACAGCTGGTTGGAACTTTTCCCAGCCCAATGTCAACTACATGTAACCACTCATTAAACATGGGGAGGATGCTTTTCAGATTCATGCTGCTAAAATCTGGAACAGTCTTCCTGAAGATGTGAGACAGGCCTCCTCTCTGACAATGTTTAAAACCAGGTTAAAGACAGTTCTGTTCAGCTGTGCATACAACTGAGGGATTTTATATTTTTAGCTTTCTTTTTAATGTTCTGTAATTATTTGTGATTTTAATGCTTTCTTATTTTGTTCAGCACTTTGAGTTGCCTTGTGTATGAATTGTGCTATATAAATAAACTTGCCTTGCCTTGCCATTTTACTCACGGCCAAGAAAATGTGAGCTTCGTATTAGTCCCAGTCCTAATTGTTGTAATAGTGATTTTTTTTTACACACTCTTTTATCCACATTAACATTAGGCTCATGCTGATGGTGGCGCTTTGATAAATGACAGTATAGTGGCAGCCCCGGAAGTGGAGCTAATGATGAAAAAAAAAATAAGGGGGGGGGGTTGGGGGGTGTAGAGGGGGGTGGACACTCGGAGGGACAGGCGCGCTGTACTTACTGTTCACTTCATGAGCAACTAGGGCACTATTTTTACCCAGGGCCTGGATGGGAGGTGAAAAGTTAGCGAAGCAGCAGGGGGGATACTGGTTGAGACTTCTCAATGTTATCAACGACATATTGTGATGAATAGACCTTTAATTTAACCTACCCACTGGAAGTAGTTTGGAGAGCGAGTCATGCATGTTTGAACAATCGCTTTTTGGTGCCAGAGCTTTTTTAGGAATTTGATGTGAAACAGACAAAATGTGCACCCCCGAAACATTGTAGGAGACAAAGGATGACTAAAAGCATTCACAGAGATAAATGCAGGAAAAATACATGGGAAAAATGTGGGGAGGCGTTTGTGGGAAGCCAGTGACATGTAGCAGTTCCCTACTTTGGCCCCTAAAGAATTAACTTACTGGATTGGTTTTATATTTCATTATAAAACAAATCCAGAAGAGAGGTCCACTGCCCAAAAAACATGGGAATTTCAATCTAAAATCCCGGGTAACACGGCCTGGCGGGTCAAAACGACTTTGCGTTTAGCCATATTACAACCTAATCTTTTTGTCTCGCAAAAAAGCAAAAATAACTTAAAGGTAAAACAGAAAGGTTAATTAGGTTGCTCTTGAAGTAAAACAAAACCACTTCTTGCTTTAAAACATAAAAAAATTACTCAATTACTCAAAAAACTGATTCAAGAATGTATACCTTTAATAATTGTTTGCAGTGTGGCGCTTCAAGTTTGTTTTGACCCTTTTATAATGAGACTTCTTTGTGGAAAAAAATCTGACACAGGTCTACACGAACTCGCCAACTTTCCCTGTCTCCACCAGGTCGACGCGGAATTTCAAAATTAGGCCGCATTCTGAAAAAAAGCTTTTCACTTTTTTTTTTCTTTTTTTTTTATCTTTTCTTTAACTAAACTTTAGATACCCAAACAAGAACGCTACATAAACCTACCAAACCCCACATCGTTAAAAACTGGATATTAATATATATATTCAGAGCTATGGGACATTTTCAGATCCATTACTGTCCTTGGTCCGGTGAAGGCCTTATAGCCGAAGTCGCCGCACTGTAAAAAGACTTCTAATGCCAAATGTTTGTTAAATAGCCGATATAGAGAAGCCATAATGTTTTAATGTTGGGCTTTATGGCCTGGGCACGCTCGGCTGTCCCGCTGGATATTGTAATAGTGCATTTTTACTGGTTATTCGTCTGTTAATGTTCCACTAGCTAACTTTAATACCGGAAGATTCTTTTTTTTTCCTTTTGGGTGTTTTCTTGCACACAGTTAAACACAAAGTTGGGTAAGTCCAATGGGTGTAAAGTTATGGCTGTGTAAGATATGCTTTATGGGAAATGATTGGGTCGTGATTAAAGTGGTGGTTATATGCAGCAATAGCTGTAATTTTATGGTCTCACTTTGAAGGCTCGTTCAACACATTAGGTGGATTGTATGGACTTTATTGCGCATCTTAGATTTAAATTGTTGTGGTTTATTCTGTTAAATTGAACAAAATGTAGGCGAGGATATTTTAACGTGTCAAAATTTACCAAAGTTCACATAAATTGATCCGGCTCCTTTCAAAATGGATGCCTTATTACGTAATCATTTCACCTCTGGAACAGCCTATACCTGATAAACCTCCAAACCATTGACTCCATTTGTCCATTAGCCACTATATATTTTATCATATTGCTGTTCCATGCATTTTAGCATTATTATTGTATTGTTTTTTTATCTGTAAGGTGACCTTCAGGGTTCTAAAAGTGCCTCGATATAACATGTATTGTCATTATTATGAATATTTTCAGTGGTACTTGTTTTGTGATTTTAAAACACTTTGCCCCCGCGACCCAGCAACGGATAAAGCGGAAGAAAATGGAGGGATGGATAAAACACTTTGAACTGCTCTGTGTTTGTGATTGTGTTACAAATATGTGCAATATTCAAGATTCAAGATTGAAGAATTGATTTGCCATTTGTAGTAAAGCCACATTGGAAAAGCTGTGCAAGACGAACCCAGTGTGCACCAGACAGAGGCGACGGCACACACCAGAGCTCTTGATACAAAAAGATAATACAAATAAACTTATTGTATATATACATTCTTATATTTATACCTTTTTGAAAGGAGAGATCAGTAAACATTTTAACAAGGAAATGAAAATCATAATTAAAACTTATAATAGTGATGAAATATGTCAACGCTTCTTTTGCCTCGGGAATGTGATTGTGTTGAAAACGTTTTCAAATCATGTATTTAATTTAGGGATATTACTTTTTTACTTAATTTTAATTTTCATAGATTTAATGACATATATGACATATTTGTAATGAGAAAACTAAGAAGATGATTTGCAGCACATCTTTTTCTGCTGGATTTAATCCCACGTACGTCCAATTTTTGGACAAAAAAACAATGATTGATTTGATTTCACTTTTTTTGCACTGGACCAAAGTAATAATGTGTTCTTCAATGTGAGCCGCAGCTTGCATCTCCACAAACCTGACTCACAACTTGTTTCCATGGAAATGTCGGATATGTTTTTACTGTATATTCTTATATTAAACTTCAAGCAGGGTTCATTGGAATATAGAGATCATATTTTCAATGTTCTTATTTATCCACACATATAAAGCACAAGGCCACAAACATGTAGTTGACTTATCATTGAAGTATATCATATTTTATGTGTTTTGTGTCAACATGTAACTATTTTGACTTCTCTATTTCTTGTTGTTGTTGCAGTTATTATTTCCTTTTTGGTTGTCCTTTTTCAAAATTTTTTGCATATGTCTGTGCCTATGTCTACTGTACGTAGTCAGAGTCTATGCATACACGTATATGTATATACGTGTGTGTGTATGTATTTATATACTGTATGTGTGTGTGTGTATTTATATATGTGTGTGTGTATGTATCATGGGTGTAACAATTCATTAACCTGCAGCATAGTCGTTTGGTTGCATCATAATACTTATATCAACACTAAACAGATAAAAAAATACACAGATTATCACATTTCAAATCTACATAAATATTATGTATATGATTATTTTGATTATCTTTAATATTCCGGACAAAGTATTATTGATTGGGCCTGTTCACCTGGAACCATCATGGCCATACAAAATTGCTTTGAGGGACCCTTTTTGCACTGGGGCCATAGTTTTAACAAGCCATCAAAAGATTTCTCAAATGGTCTCTGAATTTCTTATATGGTGTCTGAAAAATGTTATCAAAAAAGTTGAACTGACAGTCTAATATATCAGATTTATATGTCTGAAATTTCCCCACTGTGGAACGAATAAACAATCTGAATTGTTTATCACTATGACAACAGTCCTCAATATACAAAAATACAACATCTCATGATGTTGTTCTAGATTCAACTTGAAGTATTTTGTTTTATAGTTTTACAAAAGCTATGCGTGCAGACAAGTGATACCATCATCCAAACCCTCCAACAACATTCTGTACTCACATTTGATCTTTTACATTTAATCCTTCACTTAGGCAACTTCCTACCTTCCTTCGCCTTCCCCCTGCTCTCTTCTTTATCTAAGCCTATAGTTCATTGGAGCAGGCTGGCCTCCTCTTTTCTGTTGTGGCCTTAAAGCGTTTAGTCCTGGCTGATCGCGCACTGGGACTTCTTCCACACACACGCTGACTGGTGGTCGGTGGCTGGTGCTACAGAAGCGGATCCAGGGGTGGACACGTCGTCAGCAGCCCGAGAGACTGTGCATGGAGGCCGGCCTCGTCTACTGGGCTGCATCAGGGGTGGGGGGAGGCGACGGACGCACCATTAGCCAGGATCGCTGCTTTAGGATATGGCTCAAAGCTCCCCAGGTAAGGTAGTGAGAGAAAGGAAGGGGGAAAAACAAAAAATCGGTGGAAATGTCAATGTTTGTTTGCACTTGACAAAACAGAGGGATGTTGGCTCCATGTGGGGTTAAGTGTTCTGAGAGTTTTTAACCACGTTATGACATTGTTCACTCATCAAAACAGGAGTTGTTTAAATAGTACAAACTTCCGCCCCTTCAGTGTAAAAGCTCTTATCTCGAACTGTGTATACTATGACGAAGGCTCACTATGACATCATGGCCGAACTGTTTTCAGCCTTAATATTTTATATTATATATGTTTTTACTTTGGCCCCAGAGAGAGGGAGGCTGTTGTACACATAGGGGAAAGTAAAATAAATCCTGTAAAAGATTGATTAAAACTTTACATGTTTTGACCAAAACCCTCTTGATTAACTTTTCATTTTAAGGTGTAATTCCATATGAAAATAATGTATTTCATTGCACCACTGGACACTGGATTCAGAAATAGATAGAAAATCATGTCCCTTTGCTTTACCAGAGTTTGATTTCAACTATCGAAATTGTCTCGTGTTTGACAATAACACATGGTGCTCTGGAACTTTCTGTTTCACATGTGATTATTGAAAGCTCCAGACTGACGTTTAAGATCCTGAATACTATCATATTTCAAAACATTATCAGTTTTCCTGTAACTGTGAGTGGTTTGGAGTTATAGATGAATAGGTCTTTAACTCGTCCAAAATAATACTCGTCCCTTTCCCCCACACTAAAAACATATAACAACAGACATGTATTTCATTTACCTGAAGATATTCTTATTTTTTCCCCTTCCATATAGGCACAAGATAAGATAAGATAAACTTTATTGATCTCACAATTAAGAAATATTAATTGTGAGATACAGTTACATATGATACCAACTACTGCATTCTAGTTTTAACCAGAATGAAAGCTGTGGGGCACCAAGTCATTTTCAGCTTGGGGCCCTTGGATTTCCTTGTAACGCCACTGATCACAAGCACAAGCCTGTACAGTGCATGCACTCAAAAAAGTAAACAAATGAAATTTCAACATTCACTTAAACATGTGTGAATATTGAATCCATTAGCCCTATTACAATTTACTTATCATCACCACCGTTGTATAATTGAAACCACTCTGTGCACTCCTCTCCACTCCAGTTTGGGCCCTGAACAAGATCAATGCAAACAGTTGTAATGATCTAATTAATTACAACGAAATTAAAAGCAAAGTACAAAATCAATCTGCGCCAGTGTCCCGGATATCGAATCAAATTGGCGCCCCATCTGCGCGCGTTTGGACTCGGGGAGGAAACCACCGCATTCAGCGTGTCCATACAGTGGGCATATGGCAGCGGGTGTCACGGGGCCCCTCGGCGTCACATAGGGCCGCGGAGGGGGGTGAGGGAGGTATCTGTGCGCCTCATCATAAGCACACTAATAGGGGTGGAGCAGGGCCAAATACTTTAATATAGGGGATTGGTGTGTCGTAAAACAATATTCGGATAATGGATCCAAGAAAAAAATATATAAATAAATATACAACTATGTCGTAGTGTTTTTACGCACGCCAATTGTCACAGCCAAATCGTGTGACAATGTCTTGGAATAGTAGAAGTGAAAAGAGGTGAATTGCGTATTAAAGGGAAAATCGATTTTTGACTTGAAAGTGCATTTTAGCCCATATGTCTCAGTGAGAGGGGGGTAAAATCACTTTTTAATTTACTGTCATTATCAACCTCTGTCTATGAATTCGTATTATAGGAGTGGGAGCTGATAGACAAGACTGCTATATGTGGGTGTGAATTTAATTACCCTATTTGTCCATTTTTCAAAATGGCTTTAGAATGGATTTAGACGTGACTGTTCTTAATCCCAGCATTTGTGTCTGGGAGGTCACATAAACATGTATTAAGAAAGGAAAGGATAAGTAACATTTTAAATATAAATAAATGTGCATGTATAAATAACATTGCAGAATTATGGTCAGCTGATGTTAGGTGAAGTGAATATGCTTCAAAGAAATGGAGAGGCGCATTTCTATTATTTTGATCACATGTTTGAGTCATCAGAATGTAATATAAAAGCTTAGAAATAAGGCCTGCATTTTTTTTATCAGTGTGTAAATTGCTGTGTCTTAAAACGCATGTAAATAATACAATAAAAATCGTAGCAAAATCTTTTGGGGGGGTCTGCTTTGGAATGGAAGATTATGTGAATGGACAAATATGAGAAGGAATATATTTGTTAAAATATTTAGGCCTGAATTTAGGCAGTTTGGTAGAACAAAGGTGTTTTAAACATTTGGTAGAAAAAAACGAAAATAAAAAGGCAAGAATGGAAAATGTATTTATAAAGCAGCATTCAAAAGCAACCCAGAGCTTAAAAGAGGAAGATCATTGTAAAACAATAAAACATTGAGAAATGAAAACATAGAAAGCATGAGGGGAGCAGTGGGGGTGGGGTATTATCTTCATGCGTGATGTGTTTTTTTTTAATTCATTTCTATAAAGCAGAAATAAATAGTAAATTATAAATATATAATATTTACCAAATAATGTTTTATTTTTCCAAATCACAAAAACAGGAGAGTTTTTGTGTGAGTATAAAATCTGTTTCATTCTGTTTGTGCTTTTAAAAGAACATGATCCGCTTGTCATTCGGAAACAGCTCAAATGAAGCCCGCGCAGTGGCCTGGACCCGCGCCGTCCTCAGCCGCCGCTCTCTCCGCTGCCACTTTGTTAATCATCGCGCGCTTTGTTTCGCGGTGACACGGACAGTGTGTGTGCGTGTGTGTGTGTGTGTGTGTGTGTGTGTGTGTGTGTGTGTGTGTGTGTGTGTGTGTGTGTGTGTGTGAGTGTGTGTGCGTGTGTGTGTGAGTGTGTGTGCGTGAGCGTGTGTATGTGAGCGTGTGTATGTTTTTGTGTGCGTGCGTGTGTGTTTACGTGTGTGTGTGCGCGTTTGTGTGAGCGGTGTGTGTGTGTGCTCGTGCGTACGTTAGTGTGCGTGTGCGTGCGTGTGTAGGGTGGGGGGGTAGAGCAGCAGCTTTAGGGCAAAAGTGCAGTGACGTGTGAAATTACTGCCCATGGTGCTACATATTGTACCAGAAGCTCCCAGCCCCAAAAAAGTCACGTAAAAAAAGAAGAAAAAAGGGAAGGATCGTCCCCAAAGTTGTCCAGAGGCAAGCGGACCATATTATTATTGTTATTATTATGTATTTATTTTATTTTTTATTGAGAAAAACAATGCAAGCTTTTTGTCCCATGATATTGAAATACCAGTGTTGCAATGCAAGGTTCAAATACACTCTATAAGAATATGCATGTAATCAAATGTAAAACAATTAAATAAATACAAATAGCAGGACAAAGGAATATCAGCATCAGAAGAATATAGGCCCAAAAATACGATCTTGATCTCATTTTATTGTTACACAATTGTGAAAAGAAACACATTATTAAAAAATTATTCACATTTTTGACAAGACTACAACATCATGTATTTTTGATGTCATGAGAATACATATTATTTTCCGAATCGAACCCATGATTTGAATGAAAATGTGTTGACCATTGAGAAAAAATAGTGACCAACCATTTCCCATTTCTCATGATAAAAAACAAATAGTCTACATATTGTCAATGTCCTGAATACAAAACAATAACAAAACGACTATCACACTTTCCTTCTACATCGCCCCAGTCCTCTAACTGTATGACACATGCACATTAACCCGTTCCTATGTGACTCCAAAGCAGCTCGCACCTCCAAAAAAGGCATCCACTTTCCCTTTTACCCCACAAAAGCTTTTTTTTTTTTTTCAACTTTTAACTTTCCTCAAATCCTGTTACAGACTGATCTTTTTCTCTCTTTGTCTCGCTTCGGATTGAGTCTCACAGCGGAAGAGATTAAGCCGCTATAATTCGACTTTACAGTGGGTTTACGGGCAGACCCCTGACCTGGCCACAGTGCGCGTATTCTCGGCCCTATGTGTTTGTATGTGTGTGTGTGTGCGTGCGTGCGTGTATGGGTATGGAAGCGGATAGAAGCTTAGAGGGGTCTGGAGGCGTTAAAACCTCTGTGTGAGCGCCATCTGCAGAGCGTACGCGTAAATTGTGATGTGTAGCTTGTGGCGCGGATGGAGAGAGAGAAACTGGAGGATGGCTGCGCGTAAAAGCAGCCTGTGCCAAAAGCGCGTCGATAATTTTGACTTTGGAGTTTTGGCATATGATGGTCTGATTCGTCTGTGATGTAAATATTTCAAACAGGCTAAGCTGGCATCTAACTCTGTTTATTTATATATTTCAATTTCTTACTTTTATGTTTTATTTTATTTTAAGAGCTGTAAATAATGTAAACAAGTTACAATATACAAACTTTGACACGGGTTTAAACTACATATTCAACTGGATTATCATTTTGTTTCTAAAAAGGTGACTGTTAGGCACAATTTAATCCTATATCTTTGCAGGTCCATTCTTTGTGTGTAAATACATATATTCCAAAAATACATTAAATTGTCTTCGTTAATTACTTGGTTCTTTTTTGTACTATGTGGTTAAAGCCCTGTTAAAGTTTAATTAATACGCAAGGCTACATCTTGACGACTTAATGATTTGCCTCAAAACTAAACATTGACAATGTTCAATTCCTTGCTGGATTTTCTTTTATTTGTAGTGACTACACTATAACAGTTTACAGTAGGTTAATTTTCTGTAAACATTTCAAAAAAAGAAACAAAACTGAGTAACTTATTTTCCCAAATCTCTTCATCATTTGTCAGGACGTGTAATCGTTATGTATTAAAGTGCTTTATGTGTCCTGTCTTATTTTCATGGGGGCCTTACACATTGTAATATAAGCCTTGCAGTACCTCAACATATTCAGGCACATGTGTCTGTGACTTTAAACAATCAATACAAACGTTACAACTGGGATTAAAGTTTCTTCTTAACTCAAAACTCTCACATGTTTACCTTGTTTTAATTGTGTCATTGAAATGGCCGCACATGTTCGGCCCGGCTCCAAAGGCCATCACATTACGCACGGTGAGGACTCACGGCTCGTGTTGGCCTGAGCACTTGGGAACGTGTTGAATGGACTTCTTGGTTGTTGTGAGTCCAGGCTCCTGGTGGAGGGCAGGGCCCTGCTCCTAAAGAGCACTGCTCGCGCTGACAGTAGGCTCTCTTCAGCCCTGTCTTTAATTTCCTTGATTCTCCACCTAAAGTCTCATCATTTCCCATTTGCTCTCCCTCCCCTTCCTGCTGTCGGATGCAGGGACCTCCTCATTTGGGCTGCAGTTTTTTGTACGTGGGCGAATCAAAAAGTGTTGGAATCTATTGCCTTTGTCTGACAAGTCATCCATCTGTATGCGCAGGCAGCCTGTGCGGTGTGTGCGGAGGGATGAGGGCTGTGTGGGCTGGAGCAGGGGTGTGGGGGGAGGGGGAGGGGGGTCTGTGACTGCAGCTTTTAGAAACAGACACACAGCACAGGCTTTCATTCTCCGCTCAGCTCTGCTCTGCTCGGCACAGCTCAGGCTCAGGCTCCAGCCCGTGTGAGGACGCTCTGCTCCGGATACTCGCGCCTCCAGCCGCAGGATTCGCACTTGTTTTGCTTCGATCACGATGCTCCGTGGACAGTGTAGGCTGTGAGCCGCTGATGCTGCTGTTGCTGGCTGTGCTGGTCCGTGCTCACGCGTGGGTCATGCTCTGCACCTGACACTGTCCCTGTCCAGCCCTGTCCAGCCCTGTCCGTCCCGTCCGCACTGAGGAGCGCACGTGCACACGGCCTGGCACAAACTTGTGCCCGCTCCACACGGACTGTTTGACACACTCCCTTTTTTACCCTTATTCAAGCTGCACCATCGAGGCGAGACGGCGACCTCAGTCGATTACCTTTCTTTCCTCTGCTATCCCATGGATATTCACTGCAAAGCAGACCCCTTCTCCGCCATGCACCGTGAGTATTCTCAACTAGTTTACGTACGGCTTCCACGCTGTTTACACGGGGCTTTACTATGAGAGGAGGGTTCTGTTCAGCTCCAAGCTATTATGAGTACCAAGAGTGCCATGAGTTCTTGCATTCTTCTTCAACATCAAACCTGCCGCTTTCGTTCGGGGAGGAAACAATATTCACCATACGTGTCATATCCGACATGATTGGCTTGAATGTATTATCACTGAAGTGATATACGCTTCGCTGTATTTTAATTTTATTTTTGAATTGGCTTCACTCAGAAGCACGTGTCTTTTGAAGGATTGTTTATGCACAATTAATTAATTGTTATACTGATGTTATCTTCTCTCGTAAAGTTCCTGTGGCCTAGATGTGAGCCACAGCGTAAACAAATTATTATTACAGTCCCTGTCACCTCCGCAGTGACTCAGAAGGTCGCTGTGTGCTAATGAAGCGGACTATATTCAAATGTTTCTCATGTTCATAGAAAAGTGTGAAACGAGACTAAAGGAGCGTCTTTATGAAGCCCATGTTTTTGCTCATACGATCCGGGAGAAGAGGACCCGCGCGCCATGCATTATTGATCCGCTCCGCATTCGCACCATTCGCGTTTGTAATATGAGTTATCAAAGCACGACTGAATTATTTACTATTATTGTGCGAGGAAAATTAAACAGGCTGAAACGTAATATGAGCGACATGTGTTAGGCTGCGGAGCGGGGCAGAGGAGCAAGGACACTGTACCACCGCAATATAACATACTTCTGCAGCCAGAGCTGTAAATGCAAATTCATTATATCTGGCTATTTAGGAATGACTCAAAATAAACGTAACATTTCCTCATAAGTGCATGTAATTTTCTCGTTCTGATTTAAATGTTGGGTTATTTTTTAACACTCATTTAATTGAATATCTTTACGCGTATTCTAATGCAGTTCAATCTGTGTACGAATTATATTTTACAAATGTCATCTAAGGAACTCTCGCATATTTATATTACGTAGCCGTTTCTAATTGTAGATTAAATGATGCATTGGTCTAATTGATTGATGGAGCCCAGTGGATGAATCTAACGCGCGTAAAAGTATAAATTGTGCGTAAAGGCGAGATGTCGTTGGACAGAAAAAAAAAACGTGTTAACAATTCAAACCAAGCCCCAAGTAATTAAATATCATCTTTTTCTCAGCACAAAAGCGGAGCCAGACTAAAGCAGCTCTGATCTGAGCCCAAAACAGCATTGATTTTAAACCAGTGTGAGAGGGTGGCCTGGGGTGCTTTGAAAAATATCCAGTTTGAGTTGACTGATTCACAGGCGGCAAAATCCAAATAGGTACAAATCACTTAACTTGCAATTAAATTTAAAAAAGAAAGAAAAAACTGTGTGTTCATTCTTAAGCCGAGCAACGATATAATTGTAAGCAAGTAGTTGTATAATTATTATTTTTATTTTTATTTACAAGTTTGATCATATTTTTTTCTAGTTTGAAAGAGCTCTGCGTCTAGAGAGATAATTGATTAAATAAAATATGCTGTAAATAATTTTAGTCATTTTATACAACTAAATAATTGTTAAAATTTCGATCATATAACAGCCACATTTTAGACTATATAGGCATATGTTGGCATTTTTAAAAGAGGTTCTATAGGAAAATCTCTACTATCTCACACACTTCCTATACTGTGTCCATAATTTGATAAGGTTAGTAGTGTGTGTGTATAGAGGCATCTTTCCCCGCGTCTATCGTGCGTAATGGTGAGACTGTGAACAGTGGGACTTCCGCATGCAGGTGTGTAATGTTATGCTTCCCCTCGTGCCGCTGTTGTATCCCACGCAGGGCATGGAGGGGTGAACCAGCTCGGCGGGGTGTTCGTGAACGGCAGACCCCTCCCGGACGTGGTCAGGCAGCGGATAGTGGAGCTGGCGCATCAGGGAGTGCGCCCGTGCGACATCTCCAGACAGCTGCGGGTGAGCCACGGCTGCGTCAGCAAGATACTGGGCAGGTAAGGAGAAGGAGCGAGGAAGGGGGGATGCTACAATACAAATTTGTGTGGGTACTATGTTTAAATGAGGCAAAATGACTACGTTTACGGACATATCTCTTGGTTTGGACTGATTTGATTTGGCAATTGTTTATAGAGGAACATATTGTCTTTGCTCAAGCAACGTGAGATAGTAAAAGTTGTAATTTTATTTATTTTATAAATTTATTTATTTATTTATTTTTCGTAATTCACTTTTTCAACAATGCTTTGATCTCGTGACTTTACCCTAAAAATTGTGATTTGTAAATTGTGTACCTTTCCAAATTTGGCAGATGTTTTAACTTGTCAGGCCATGTCCAATCAAGAAAATATGTTTTTAATCCAAGTCATTTTTATTTTTATTTTTTGTAGTATGTATGTTCACTACACATATTTTAGATGATTTAAAATGACTTACAAACGCTTAAATTACAAACGTTTTTGGCAGATTTTAAAATGTCTGTATACATTTTAAAATATGAAACTTCTCTCAAATGTCGTGAATCTCTGCTGTGTCATGAAATGCTTTTCAAATCTAGCCTCAACCTCTACAATTATAATCTGAAAAATCAAGTCATTTTAAGCCATTCAAACTTTGCTGTAAGTGCGCGTCATGTGGCAGACATCAATCTTACGCACCACACTTCGCTTACACCAGGCACATCTTTACCCTTCCATTTACGTCCCATCACAAAACGTCTTCGAAGAGCAAAAGAAAGTGGATAAAACTTTACAGCTAAACGTAAAAATTGAATTGAAATTAACTTCACTTGACTTGAAGGGACTGTGAGGAGCCATGGCAGACATTAGACAAACTCAATTGATCCACAAGGGACAATCTGCTTGGACACAATAGAAATACGTTTATAATAATGAATCTGTATATTTGGATAGGCCTGCGCGAAGACCATAACCATAGGCCTAGACATGTGTGGATACATATTTGTGTTAGATTTATTTCAAAAATCGTAATGAATAGTGACGCATCATTCACTTATAGCGTATATAAATCGTTGTGAGCCCAAGTTTTTGAGAGTAATTTCTCTACATATATCTCTCCCCATAGCTATCAGAAGTCATTTCAGAGGTACTCCTTTTCACACACACTATAAATGTTCGCACAGCACACTGTAGGACCCACGTTTAACAGTGGCATGTGCTGCATGCTGCTTTCAGAAGCCCCAAACTCCTCTGTGCCATTTGTTCTGTGCGTCTCGCTGTCTGAATCAGTAATCAGTATATAAATCAGCCTTAAAAGCACAATTTGTAAAGAAATAATGAAAAATACATACATAGGCTCATCATTTCCCAACACTCACTCGGATAAACTTGTTATTTTCTTGTATAGGTACTACGAAACCGGCAGTATTAAACCCGGAGTCATAGGTGGCTCCAAACCGAAAGTGGCGACCCCCAAAGTGGTGGATAAGATAGCGGACTACAAACGGCAGAACCCAACCATGTTCGCGTGGGAGATCCGCGACCGGCTTCTGGCTGAGGGCGTGTGTGACAACGACACAGTGCCCAGCGTGTCATCCATCAACAGGTAAAAACATAACATTGTGATATTGTAGAAGATGTCATGAGGTGAATCTATTTGTTCTTATAGTCTAAAAAAAATGGAAATCGAGCCTTAACGAATGAGATTTCTTTGTGCATAATTAAATAGACTTTTTATTTCACGATTTCAGCCTTAGATTCGTTTTGCTTCGTCTGATTTTTGCTGCTTTATTGGAATGAACTGACTATAAACTAATCTAATGCTGCAGCATTTTATGGCTCAAGTTCAATAAAAAAATGAAGATTTTTTTTTTCGTGAGGGAGGTTTTCTTGTCCCATACCTATTTAATAACAAACATTGCTTTTAAGGCTTTATATGTAAGAAATAGTTTTCTTCTATGTGCCACCACGTCTTTAAAAACTCCCACACAATTTAGCCTCTCTCACTTTCCCCTCACTTCCTACCGCATTTATGTTCATCCCGCTCCTGTTTGTGAGAAGTTATCACGGTGTTATGAGGAGCAGCGGGGTGGTCTCTCCTCTCTCTTCTCTTTCTCTCCTTTTTACCCCCAAGTGCAATTCAATCCCCGCCTCGACTCCAGCGCGGAGGAGAGATCACATCTGTCTCGATAAAAACCGATCGATAGCGCGTAACCAGATCTAGAGGCGGTGGGAAATACCCGACACATACCCGCTCAATACGCGGACCACACTGCGACACAACGGGGCTATACGACCTGGGAGAAAGGCCAGCCTGCTCCGCGTAGAACCGTGAAGTGGCGCGCGTAATGGGTTGGTTTTGGTTTTACGCACGGGTGAAATGGTGTTGTCTGTTGTGTGACACGGGCCGGTTGAGTGTGTTTGCTGTTCCTTAGGATATGAGTTTGAAATAGGTGTATTATGTTTGTTGAAAATTGTGATTCTATAGGCTGCAGTATAATGCAATAGGTACAAAGTATTGGAAAATACGTGACACAATGTGGTATAATGTTCAACCAGTTTGGATTGAAGCAAATGCAGTCATAAATTCTCACTATTTTGAATGTATATGATCTATTTATAGCTAGAATTGCAATTTTTCAGGTGTAATTGTGTACGTAATTTCTTGTAGAGCAAAAGATGGAAGAAATAGTGCCTCTTCTATTCCTGTTTAAACCACTGGAAATGTCTGGCCCAATTAGTGAGCTATGGGCCTTAAAGCGGGAGCATAAAATATGTAATGTTTATGCAATTGTAGATACATTGTGGCTGTTGTTTGGGGGGGCACACTTAGATTTGAGAATTGTTGAATATTTATTCATGTGAGCTTGTTGGCCTCGTCCCTCACACTTTGGTCACTGAACAACCGATGAGGCCAAGTAAAGTAAACCACACTTTGGTTTGAAAATTGTAACTCAAAATTATGTATTCTGTAAACATAGAATAATCTGAATTCGGTCTCATCAAGTTTATTCGTGGGGAAATTACTTTGTGGCAATGGTAGGAGAAGTTTTGTGACTAAACAAAAGTACATATGGGCATGTGTACCAGGCCAATAAGCTCTACAAATACACCACACGATTGATGACATTCTCGATGAAGAATTGTGCTAATACGCTGTCAAAAAGGTAAAAACTATAAATATTTACAAACAAAAATTGAATAATAAAACAGATATTGAGTAAAAGTATTCATTGTAAATACCACTTAAACGCAGATACATTGTACTTTAACTCATACTTTATTACTTTGCACTGCTGGGTCTTAAACTACACGTTTTGGAGTTGATAAGTAGACACCTCTTAGTCCCTGTAGAAAGCGCACATGCAGAGAGAGACAGGAAAAAAGGAGAGAATAAGCCTGGAGCACGTGGGGTAGAGAGACAGAGAGAGAGAGAGGGGGAGAGAGAGAGAAAAGAGACTGAAAAAACCCCTCCAAAGCCCCATAGTGCACAGCGCGAGAGCTGAACTTTGCTTAGGAGGCACCGTTCCAGAGAGTTGGTCATCGGCATTACATTTTAATGAGCAGCCGCAGTCTCACAACGCGTCCAGCTAAACGCGCCCGGGACAGGAGGGCCATGCTGTGAAGAAGTGAGATTAGGCAATAACAGAAAAAACGTTGGATGGACACATTATTATGACGATGAGCGCCTTATAAGTGCTAATGGGTCTGCGCGCGTTTTCTCCTGTTGCGCGCAAACTTGGCATCAGCGCGTTGCTAATGTCCCACTGCTTTTGGATTGTAAAAATAATCTTACACATAAGGAGATGTATAGGATAGTTTATAAAAAAATACATTGTAACAAAACAAAAAAAAAGAAAGTTGATTTGCCACTTTCCTTTTGGCCATTTGACCATTATACAGAAAACCTAATAATATAGCTTTTATATTATTAATCTTCTTATTTTGGATAAATGGATCCAATTGAGTTTTAATGAGTATTTTCTCCTGGGTACATTACCAATTTTACATGTAGTCTGTTATTATTTTTTTTATCACTGTCAAGTTAAGTACAACATTGCCTCTGGCTTTAAGTCGTTAGACTAATTAAAATTTATATTGAAATCCAATCAAGTAGCGTGTACAGTAATGCCCACTGTATGGATGAAAGTATAATTGTAGCTACAACACTGATTATTAATATGTTTAAGGCAACTCCATATATTATGAATGAGTTGGAGTGGTGAGAAATATTGCTTTATAAATACGTTATTACTATGATCAAAATCATTATTTATTCATGTTTTGAATTCTATTTTTTCCTACACTTTGAAAAATTGACATGCATATAAAATACTGTGATGTCACAGATCACCCAGAAACCACACCTGCAAAAAAAATGATATTGTTGTATGTGTTATGTTTATTTCATTGATTTCCCAAGTGTGCATGGAACAAAAGATTGGTTTGCTAAAACTTGTTTTTCCATTCAAATGTTATAAATTGCATTCCTGGAGAGATCTGTGCAAACTTTCAGTCTTAAAAAAAGCACCAAAACAGGCTGAAAAACAGGCTGAAAAACACTGCTCTATATATTGACCAAACGCACATAACTTTACATTGCACATTGCATCTCCAGCTTGCGGTGGTCTGTGTGGTTACAGCCTCTGACCTCTGCTCCCTGCACTAAAGAGCATGTCCTGGCTTTAAACACATTTTTCCTGCATGCATTATTAAAGATTACACACAGGCTGGGTTGCACGTTGTTTTGTTGTGGCTTGACCAAGCAGAGTGGAGTTACTTCCCCAGGAGCTGCCCCTCAATCATATCGATCCACATTTTAATATTTCTTTGGGGGATATTTCCTCTCCCTGGCCGTTAATTCAGCCCGCGCCACAATTGCTTATTCAATATCACCAACACGCACTCGGAAACAAAGTCCTTGGATTTATGCCTTGTGAGGTCGAATAACTGTTGTGAAGCCATGTTCGCAATTCAAATCAAATATTGATGAGGGGAAGCTTATGGTAGGCAGGATTGCTATGTGTAAATGTGACCCGAGGGAGATTAACCCGTAGTTGTCCGAATAGGCAGGTGTCATTTCTCATAGGGTTTGGTGCTGGGTGATAGCTGTTATTCAGTCATCGGCCTGTCAGTCAAATGTGATGTTATGGAGGCCCAGAGCTTTGCACAAGCCACTGTGGAATTACCATCAAAGTGTAACGAATTCATATATGTGCGTGAGTTTGCTGGGAGAAATTGGCAGTTTTGTGTTCTGGGCAAAGGATTGTTGTGGGAATTTGAAGGGTTGAAGTGAAAAGAGTTGGTTGATGTTTGAGATACAAAAGCTCACTATGGCAACTTCTGAACTGATTTACTGGGTATTGTGTGGAGAAATATGGATTTTAATAGTAGTTATAACAAGGGGTTGGAATGTATTTAAAACATTTTTTTTATGCTGTTAAATTTGCTTTTTTAGTCATGTTTTGGTGCAAAGTGTTACAATTTTGGCGATTGAGAAATATTTTTTATTGTTAAAAATTAAACAACAAAAATTATTATTGTTTTTTACCTGTTAAGTTTTATTTTTTTTTAAAGTTCATAAATTTGTCACTGTATAGTTTATGTGCGTAACTGATTGGACTATTTATGAATATCAAAGTTTATTGATCCAGTGAAAAAGAAATGTTAGGAATCTAGAATTTTCCACTGGTAAAAAAAAGTATTATTATATTAAATAACAAATACAGTTTGTTATTACATTATTTACTGCAAATGGCAAATAAATGAATCTGAATCTGAATCTAAATCCAATTTCACAATGTTGCTGTTAGTATGTCATTTCAGCAACAATAAGACCCTAGAAATGGGACCATAATGAGATTTTCTATTCAACCTAGTATATCTATTGTGGTACCAGCTTATTACCTCCCTGCTACTTACAACTCAACACCATTTGCAACCAATCCTCAAACCTTTCACTGCCCTGATCAATACTTTGCGTTACCCCTTGAGCCTGGGGGGTCCTTTCCCTGCCATAACACTCACCACCCCCTCAGAGCCATCCCCCCATCCCACACAGCGAGAGAGCGAAAACAGAGACGCGAATGGGGAAAAATGAACTCAGGCGATGCCGCGATGAGCTGTGAAAGACTTTTATTGTGGACTGGACAGCGAGGGGGAGAGAGAGGTATAGCTCGGCTGGTCGGGGAGACTCTTGGCCGCGCAGGTGGGGGGGATTGGGGGGCTCGCGGAGGGAGCAGATTATTAGACTCGGCCAGGTAGAGCCAGTGAAGCCGATCATTGAGGTGAATTGATGTGATTTCATGCTTTGTTTGCAAGATCATTCCGAGCAAAGTGCAATGAAGACTTTCCCCGCCGCCACATCACATCTTACTGCCGACTTTATCATATTTTCTAACCCCCCAAGAATCCCAAGCCAGATTGAATCCAGCAAGCTACAGCCAGGTGGGGATTTGGGTTTGCGAAAGCTCAAAGATTGCTTGTTCGGTGACCAGGGATGCCCCAAGAGTAGGCGTACAGGGCCCTTAGTACATGCACATAAGGCAATAAGTGAACAATGTACGGTTGATAAGGGGTTTCCAAACGGTCCAAAGACCATATCGATTGACTTGTCTTGTTGTTCGTTTTGCCAGGATCATCCGCACCAAAGTCCAGCAGCAATTTCACCCGTCGCCCGATGGATCCGTGACGCCGCTATCTACGCCAGGACACACTATAGGTGAGACAGCTATAGATATGGCGTTAAATATGCACAATTGTTCATTACAAAAATTTTAAATCTCCCACTTTGTGTCAAAAGGACCTGGCACAGGATAGAATATGTTTTCCATCACAGGCTGAACTGAACCAAAAACAGGAACATTATCAAAAATGGCTGGATCCTGCCTGGTTACAAAGGACTGTGTAAACAAAATGGGAAAATTAGTTGGTCATTTATTGTTGTAACCTTAGGCTGTATTAGCAAGGATTAAAAAACAGTTTGGACAAAAGTGTTTCCATGATTTCATACAATACGACACAAAATATTACTATAGTACTTCTAGAGATCAGCATTGTAATTAGAAACAAGCATAGAAACTGGAAAAGTGTAGTTGTTCATTCACTGTTACCCATGACACCAAAATGCAAGCGGAAATACACACAAAACGGACATCCGCGAACCATCTTAACCAGTGTTTCTCAAACTTCGGCACGTGTATCATAGGCATCACCCTATCTATTTGTGATGGATTCTTTACCACTTGTATTATTTGCTGTTAGTGTTCAATTCCGGGTGTTTGATGATACACTTTATCCTATGGTTGCACCCAGAAGGCCAAAAAGACACAGTTCAACAAAGGAGTTCAAGCAATTTCTTGGAAAGTTCTGGGATGGTGGACTCCTGACTTGCAACTTTCACTTTTTAATATCCCCAAACCTAACTTCTACTTTTTCTCATCTTTTCTCAGTTCCTAGCACCGCCTCCCCTCCAGTGACCAGCGCTTCCAACGACCCCGTGGGCTCCTACTCCATCAACGGCATCCTGGGCATCCCCCGCTCCAATGGCGAAAAGAGGAAACGGGACGATGGTAAGACAACAACAAAATAAAACTGATCCTTTGTTTTTTGCCCTTTTTTTACATTCTCGCCTCCTACTTTTACGTTGGATGGTGTTTATGACAGCACGCCAGGCCAAGTGTGTATATTTTTCCCCATCCAGTGTCTCCGGTGACTTGTTATGTGGTGTAGCGGTAGTCAGATGGGGGGAGCGTGTTGCGATTCAATCAGTTTTTCCTCTGCGCCCCTAACGTTTTTACCATACGCCTACACAGGGACGAGATCTCAATTTGAGGCCGGAGACGCGTCGACATGCGAGATCCCCATATAGCTGTCATGAAGTGTAATCCCACGCACGCAGAGCTCTGGGCTGTTTGTGTATCAACAGACTGCCTGTACAAGAACGGCTCCATCATTGGGATTAGACGTAGATACTGTATGAGCTATCTGAAGCATTCATATGGCTACATTTACAAAATCTGTGTGCTCTCTGCCAGTAGATCTAACTGTTTAGTTAAACATATACAGGTGAAACTCAGACAATTAGAATATCGTTCAAATGTCCAATTATTAATTCAACTTACCATGTGGAACCAACACATGATAGATGCAAAGTGAGATTTATCAAACCACAGATATCCTATAATGTTGATATATAGCTCAAAGCTGGTGAAAACCCCCCAAAACCTATTGGCTTCACATTTTAAGTTGAATCATAGAAAGGAACCTTTGAAAGATCCTCCAATTGTTGAAGTCTCGCCTGTATATAGCTAAAATAATTGCCATATTCGTTAACATTGGGAACCAGAACTTATTCAATACCAGCTTTTTTCTTAGTAATTTTTTTAACACAACGGGAAATTGTACGTCATGGGAACCAGAAAATCATAAGCCTTTATTTTTATTCAGTGGCTTCTGTTAGATGATATTATGTAGAAAAAAAGTCATAAAATGCACGACTCATCACTTAGTGTAACAAATTGAGCAGGATGCCAAAGGACCATTACCAACTGCTTCCAGGGCCACTATTTTTAAGGGGGCCATAGTTTGGACATGCATGCTATACAGCCACTGTAATGCTTTAGTTGAAATTTGCAAACAAAATAAAATAAAATGAAAAAGAGGTAGAAATAACTCGTCTTTACTGCAGACCAAGTACTTTAGAAGGCTCTATTCCTTCATTAGCCTGAACGAGCAGCGGCAGCCAAACGCCTGTATCTACGCTCACAGATTACATCCGGTTTGAGTTTCTCATTCCGAGGCGAGTGAGTGGACACACCGCCTGCGGGCTAATAGATTATCGGTTGTGCAAACAATTGGCTTTTTTAATGCCTTTGAATTAACATGTCCCTGGTGGAGGGCTGAACAGGTGTAGGAACAGACCGGGGCAGGCAGGCGGGCAGGGAGGGAGGGGCGATGTGCGTATGTGCGTGTATGTGTGTGCTTATGATGGAATGTTTTGGTGGAAAAGGCACCCCAATAACAATATCTTCATGAAATAAAATCATATTCCTTGATTTGAGAAGATTAGACAAGTTAAGTAAAATGATGTGCCAATGGAAGGAGATACCTTGAATCGAGCGAAAAAAGATTTATTGTCACAAATTATCGAAAAAAGTGCAGGAATTTAGAACTACTTTAAAATCAATGCGTGTCTTAGTGCGAGGAGTTGGTCTTTGGAACGAACGAAAAAGATTATTTAAAAACATGTTCTAACCTGATTGTATTCGAGAAACTGCTTGAGAAAAGAGGTTCTAAAGAAGTACAAGGAAAGTGATGGGAAAGAGGTGTATGGTCAGAGAGTGTTAGGGTCACTACCTTGTCTTACAGGGTGTCTGTGTGTGTTCTACTGTATTTATGTTTTGTGTGTTTATTTTATTTTTTGTTCCTAATCTTGAGCGCAATTATTTTAATGGGACATTTGTTTCTTGTTTTAAGCACGTTCATTTCAGATCATTTAACTCGAGGAAAAACAAATCTTCTCAAATTTCAAAAATGTTTGTAATTCTGGTGATTAAGATAATGTGTTTTTTTTTTTTACAGTTTGATCTAAAAAAACATTTATAAAAACAGCCCCGTTCCTCTTTATGTTTCTCTGTAGTTCTCTGGACTGGCAACCACTTGGATGGAAGGAAAATAGGACATTGTAAGTGCCAGTTAAAACACCCTTTCTCCTATGCTTTGGTCACTCTCATCTCTTTCTTTGCTTCTGCTACTGCTGCTACTGCTGCTGCTGTTTTTCCCCCATGTTCCGGCGAATTAAAGAATTTTCCAATAAATCATCTCCCGAGAAATTAAATACATTGCGATAAAAAGACTGGAAAATCATGTTTTCTGTGTAATGGCACGCAGGTCAATACACAGTCATGCACTATGTGTTCAATTTAGAACATGGTCGGCGCCAAAGGGGGGGCTCAAGGTGCTCCTATCACTGACCCTGACCCGGCACCTATTGCGACTCCTGTAAATATTTTTGATTATGCATTGAACAAATGGGTGTATACCAAATTGATGTTGGCTCTGTATATAGAATATGTTGGCTCTGTTCTATATACAGTCTGTATGTTTTTACCATAGACTGTATATAGAACAATGCAAATTGCCCAGCTCTATATGAAGCCCAATAGAAAAGTGCTTGTGGACAAAGTTTTACTCAAACTTGCACTGGCTCCTATTGACATTGAAAAGCAAACTCCCCTTGCTCAGTAACTGTTTGTATCACAATCACATTTTGGGCTTAGAATCCATGATTAAGCAGCCTCTTCGATCATTTTATAAATTAATACTGTCTTTGTAAATCCAGATATGAGCCCTAGCAACTGACCAATCAGGAGCCTTCAGTTCCCAACATTTGACATTAGCTAGCAAGTCCTGCTCCTGATTGGCATTTGGTAACTCGGTCATTGCAACCAATACAATTTGCATATTTGAGCGGGTTGTGGAGCTGAATATATATATTCAGCTCCACAACCCGCTCAAATAGCCTGTTTGAGCCAGCTCTAATCAGCTTCTTCAGTATCAAAGCTAAAACTATGATATTAGTCACATTAGTAGTCAGTCAGTCCACTCCTAATATACAGTCCATGGTTTATACTACATCAAAAATTAATGTGTGCACTTTGTGGCTACAGTGTAACATACAGACTCGTTGGTCATGTGGACAGAAACAGTAGTGGTCATTCTTTTCTGTCGATTATGGCCCATTATTTGTTGGCATGCTGTCTCAAAATGACTTCACCCCTGAACATTCTCTGATTTGGGTCGCTGGTGTAAGGCTCAGATAAGGCTGAGTTTTGAAATTGAGCTCACCTTTCTAACTATTAATTCTTGCATTGCTTAAGCTATTTTACTCTCAATTCTTGTTTCTTGGAACATTTTGAAGACCCGTTCCACATACAATAGGTTTATTGTATTGTTTTGAATTGTGGATTAAGGAATTGCTTCTTATTTTATATTGACACATAATGAACTGCAAATGTCTATGTTAGATTTTTCCCTTGTCCTGTCAAGTGTGGCATGTTCAGATCATTGTTACACTGTTTTGTCATTGTTATACTGTTTCATTTGGCATCAATTTACCTTCAAGAATTCAATAATATTTAGAGAAATATACTTTTTCTCTTCCACCCTAACCCTCGCCTGTGCCTGTTGGCCTATTACAGACCCATACATTACAAATAACTTCTATCTTTGTTACTGTCTACATACATTGCTAAACACTACATAGCATCTTATTGTGTTTTTCTTTCTCTGTTGGCTGCAACACAATCCATAAACGCACATAATCTCTTTTGCACGCCCATTTTGCCATCACTGTGTATGTTTACCACTTCCCTCGTTGCTGCTGGTTTGGTTTGAAGTGGAGGAGTGGTCTGGTCTGGTCTGGCGAGCCCTTTCCTCATGAGGGGGGTCCCATTAGCGTGCGGCTGCGGCGATAATGTAGTGTGACGTCTGTTATGTACACCGGCTTGGTGACTATGGGCCCGCTCAGGGACAGGGGCGCCCTCACAGCTACCCATCCATCCGGGCCCTGTCATGTCCGCCGCAGATTACAAGAGCTGTGTTACTGCGCTGAGGTGAGGAAGGGGAGGGGATAGAGGCGGAGAGAGGAGGGGCTTTGGAGAGGGCAGGAAGATGTTGTGTAAGCTGGAAAATGTGGCAATGTGTGTGGGTTTGTATTGGGATATTGTCATCTTTAAGTGCTTTTGATGATGTAGTAATTTGAGCAATTCATTAATATGTTGAATTGATCTTTATGCTCCTTTATTCAAGCTGCTTTTGCTTTGTTTGTTGATTTGTTTTTTTCTTAAAGCAACAGTACGTAACTTTCAGGAGGTGGATGAAATTCACCTGCATGACATAGAAATAAAAAGTTAAAAACACACTACGGAACATATACGTTTGAATGAAACGTTGAAATACTGGTGATTCAACTGCTGTTATATTTGTCTATTTTCAACCTGAATAGTTACGTACTGGAGCTTTAATTTGTGAGACACAAATGATTTGGTCGTGTCCCAGAGGCATTTTTAAACTACTGTGATTTGCTGCTATGTCAGAACTTTGCTGTGATGACGTATATCAATACACACATTTTCATGAGAGAAATCAGTGAAATGTTTTCTATATAGATTCACAAAATGTCTACTGTAACTTTAACATTCTAAAGTTGTCGTTTCTAATGTGCCCAAATGTGTATGCATTTTTTGACCCAACATTGGAAGAATCCTAAATTTGTCTTGATGTTTGACCTTTTACAGATGAAAGTGAACCTTTTCTATGCCAAAGAAGGCCAATCAAAAATATTACAATATATCTAGCCATAGGTTCATGAGAAGTGCTCCAAATTCTATATAAGTCCATTTGTATTTTGATTGTGTGATGTTAATAGAGCAAGCAAATTATATTGATAATTGTAATATTCAAGGTCCCACAATTTGGAGCTATAATTGGTTTGAAGATATGGGGTTTATGTTCTGTGCAGAAATGTATTGATTTATGGGACTGTTATCAGCAAATAATTAAAATAATATAATTATCCTGGATTAAAGGAAACAGCTTTATGTATATGTATGTATGTACTGTATACGTATGTTGATTATATTTTAAAAGCTCTTTTCCAAACAGCTTTGGTACAGGACTACAGTACAGACATATTTCTTACGGTATACATTATAAATAGTTGCTGTTCCGTCCATGTGTAACGCGCACAGGTCTAAACTATGGCTTCAAATGCTTCCTTCCGCATGACATTTTGAACCACTTACAATTCTATGGGGAAAAGCTATTAATTCACAAATTAACACCCTCCCCATGCCCATACATTGTACCCTGGATGTGCGAGCCATCGAAAAGACAAAAGAAATAGCCTTAAGGGGAGAAAGGAGAGAGTCTGCTTGGAGATTGGTTTGCATGTCTGCGAGCACCCATACCAATTATACCATCGCTGAGGAGAACGGGTGCCCCCCCCTATCCACCCACCCAAACGGCTCCTCATCCCACAGCCCCCGAGTCTATCCATAGCCAGATTTATTTGTGTATCTCATTACGGGAAATGGAATGTTGTCCCTGCCAAATGCATTAATAGCGAGGTGAAGAAATTAGCCTGTTGTACGGCAGGCCAAGAGCAGTCAGTCACTTTGTACCTATGTGTGGGGGAGAGAGCCAAGGAGAGCAGCTCAGGGCAGGCCATGAGAGCTGGACATATACTGTAGATGTCAAAGAGGAAAGGAAGAAAAGTGTAGAATTGGTTTCACATTAAAGCTGGGATACCTAATTTTCCAACTTCCAAACATTGAGTTGTTAATTATTGTTTACAATTAATCTAACTAGTTTCCATTTTTCTTTTTACTTTGATGACAGCATGTTGTGGTCTGATCCAGTCACAACATCATACTTTTATAAGTCTCTTTCTGTTGGGACAAACTGCACGTTATAGTTATGAAGAAAAAAGACAGGTACCCCAGCTTTAAAGCAAATCAAAGGAAGACACCCATATGTTTGCTGGAACAATGTACGAAAGAAAAAGGTTCACTGACTTCCATGTTGAAAACAGTTAAGTTGAAATTGTCATCACGACTCATAGCAGCAGATCATGCTAGAAAAGTGCTCGTACATCACTGCCAAACCGTTCGTTTATCACAAAAAGAAAACAAATATCATTGGAGAGGTATGTACTGGAGATGGTGAAAGCAGAGATAATTAGAGCAAAGGCCTCTTGAATGCAGGAGTACAAACATACATGAATCACACGAAACACAGCTTTGAGTGGCTAAATGAGAAGACAAACATTATAGCATGGCACTTTTTTCTATAGACAGTTGAATACATGCGTTCTCATTGTCAAGAAGACATTTTAATAATATAGCACATTTCATACAAGAAGCTAAAACCTAACGCGCTTCACAAAGAATTGCGTACCTGTAGCTGGTTACAAAGTACAAAGTATATTCAGGGTATAAGAGAGTCTGAATAGGCTGCTTGAATGTGGTCAGGTGGTCCGACAGTGTGAGGCAGAGCATTCCATTTACAAGGAGCATCATGGGAGAAAGCTGCTTTACCCAGTTTCAGCTTCACACAGGGGACCGCAAAGAAGGTCCGATTATATGAGACGGTACACAGGTTCATAAGGCACAAGTAGCTCCGAAATATGTGAAGAGACCAGACTGTGGGGGGCTTTATAAACAAGTACAAGGATTCTAAAGTCAATCCTGGGCCTGAACCGGAAGCCAGTGGAGATCCCTCAGTTGTGAGGTATGAGATCTAGTCCGTGTCAAAATGTAGGATAGAGAACGACCATACAAAAGTGAAATTGTATCACCACAGTAGCTTCAGAAATGGGGGCCATTGCTCAGATCTTAGAGAAAAGGTATTAATTAGCTGAAAAGACTAAAACCCACAACATTGGTAGGGAAAGTTTGTGGAGAGAATCCTAAGTTAAACATTGATACATTTCAACAAACATGGACCAACGTTTTTATATTTCTTGCAAAAACTATATTATCCGTCTGTCTGAAATTATCCAAAAACACATCCACTTGTGAAAGATTAGCAAGTTAGCTTTGTATATCTTTAGCTTAGCGTCCTGAATGTTGTAAACTGCTATGTTAAAAAATAATAGTGTGCAGCTAGGGCAACTTTTCTTGT